ATAAACTAAAATGCATATGTTTTAAGTTAAGGGAGAGCATCATAACTTGTAATATAGAATGTGTAACTTTCAAAGCATCCTCAAGAAAAAAGACCTATTAAGTGGGAAGCAGTAAATGAGGGAAAAAATCAGAAGCAAATATAGTAAATGGAAATTATTGTTTGAGTTATTATACAGATTATATTTGCACCTAAGAAAGAACACCCATCCTTTTAAGCAAAAATAAAACATCAGCATATACTATGCCACAAAGGAAGTCTCAATAAATTCTAAAGAAGAAATATATGTTTGTTCTCCATTGATACATTTTTGAGTCATAATGCATAATGCAAATATGTTCTCTAACCATAGGCATTCAGGTTAGAAATTAATCATAAAAGGATAGTTTTAAAATTGCCAAATATCTGGAAATTTAAGATGGTATTACTAAATATGAAGTAAGGTGTACTAAATAAACCTTGGGTTCAAAAGGAAACATGAGTGAAATAATGGGATACTTAAAACTAAGAAACCAATAAAGAAAAACTACAAATCAAAAGCAGTAATAAAAGAGATAATTTTAGTTTTAAATAGACTAATCAGGAAAGAACTACAGTTGGAAACAAAGATCTAAGTATTCAAATTAATAAGTTGGAGACAGAGCAACAGAGTAATCGTAAAGAGACAAGGAAAGGACAAAAAGATAATGGCAGAAATCAGTCAAATAAAGAATTGCAAGACAGCTTTCAACAAACTAAAAAACTGATTATCTGAAAAGATTGATAAAATACACAGATTTCTAGTAGACTGATCAAGAATACTGTGCGCATAATTCCAACAAGTTAGATGAAATGGACCAATTCCTTGAAAGAAACAAACTACAAAACCTTACTCCAAATAAAGATATAACCTGAATAGTTCCATTAAAGAAATTGAATTTGTAGTTAAACCATTCCAATGAAGAACATCCAGGCCCAGATGATTTCTTTGGAGAATTAAACAAAACATTTATGTAATAAATAATACAAATTCATTTCAACGTCTTCTGGAAATAGAAGAAGAGAGCACATTTCATATCTCAATTTATGAGGCCAGCATTACCTTAAAACTAAAACCTAACAAAGATATTTCAAGAAAAGAATACTGAAATACAATAGCCCTCATGGTCACAGACAAAAAAATCCTTAGCAAATTATTATCAAATAGAACTTAGCAAATCTAGCATTTGTATAAAAAGGATAACACATCATGACCAAGTAGAGGTTATTCTGAGAATGTAAGGCATTCAACATTAAAAAGTCAATATTTTAATTCACCATATTATCAGATTCAAGAAGAAAAAACATCCCTTATGATTATCTCAATAGATTCAGAAAAAGCTTTTGACAAAATTCATCATTCATTAAGGATAATAATTCTAGGAATAGGAGGGAACTTCTTGAACCTGATGAAGGGCATCTAAAAAAGGGCATCTATAAAAGCCTACAATTAATATCACACTTAATGGTAAAAGACCAAATGTTTTACCTCTAGGATTGGGAACAGGGCAAGGATGCCATCTCTAATCGTTTCTATCCAACATACTGGAAATCCTAGGCAATGCAATAAGGCAAGAAAAAGAAATAAAAGGCGTATAAATGGAAAGGAAAAATAAAACTGTCTCTACTGGCAGGTAATATGATTGTCTATGTAGAAAATCCCAAGGAAACTATAAATGGAAGATCTTGAGGCAGTTATTATAATGCTGACACTTTGTTTAATAGCTGCAAACCTTATTTAGGGTGGTGAGGGAAAACGTGAAGCAAGACAGGGTAGAATGTGAAGCAATGCAATGAGTGATACATTAACGTACTGGTCGTTGCTTCACAAAACAAACTGCAAAGAGATGTAGTAAGTCATTCAACTTATTTGTGA